AAACATTTCCAAATAATATAAGGCTCCCCTCATAAGAACAAAAACAGCCACGCTACATACGAATTGAATTAGTGCTGGCAACATCTCCACACCAAGGTAAACACTTACAGGCCAAACTTTTTTTCTCTCCCTCTCTCTCTCTCCTTTATTGCATGTATAAGATGGAGAATGTCTTATATAATGCAAGCGTCACTTATGAAGCTGGGGGCTCATGGAAAGTGGGAGACGATAATGCGAGGGAGGGACCAAGGAAAAGAGGGAGCCGAAGCAAAGTTACAAGCAAGGAGGAGATGGAGTCCCAGGGAGTCGTGGATGGAGGGAGGAGGGGGGGTGAAGGGGGCAAAGTCTGGAAGCTAGCTGACAGGACTGGATATGCCCAGACTTGAGAGCCTCATTGGAGTCTCAGAAATGCCTCACCTCTCATCCCCTTCTTTAAAAAACACCATCAATCCCGTCTCTCCCTGCCCAGCATGTTGTTCCTCACCCGTCTTACAGGCAGAGCCCCTCTTGTCCGGCTCCTCCCTTTCTGTTTCTCTTCAAACAAGCAAACACACACACATACCTCAGTCAAACTGAACTGCTGTTTGAGGGTAAACTGGAGAATTCAGGGTGTTGGCCAAGCAAGTAAATAATAATACAAACCAGCTGTGTCTCCACTTAAACTGCATTGCTGTGAGCATATTACTGTACAACTCAGCTTCTTGAACTCAGCTCCCAGATATCAAAAAGCTCCAGCTGGATATAGGTTTAATATCAACCAGAAGTTACATTTCAGGTATATTGGTAGAAACCCAAAATGGTCTTTGTAAAAATAGTTTTTTCCTCTGTTCCTTCCAACCCTTAGCAGCTCCTTTAGATTGCTGTTATTCTTAGGAGTCCTGGCGTTACTCCTGTATTCTTTCTTTTACTTTTCCTCATCAAATGTGTCTTGCCCCAGACATGGTCTGCGTTTTGTCTGAAAGGCTCTACAAGCTGAAATTCTCTCACGATAGAAACACTGAGCAGGGAGCGCAGAAGGAGCATTAAGGAGAATGAGAAGAGGTAGGGCGGGGTAACTGGAGTGAGGCACTGAGTTGTCTGTGTTTATTTTGGAAATGCAGGTCTGCAGACTTGCAACAGAGGAACTGACCCCTAAACTTCCCTGTGGCAGATCCGCGCAGAAAGAGCAAGAGTCTCTGCTCTTTTGGGATGTCCCACACAGGTAATTTTGAAAAGGATAGACCAAATTGTGCCAGAAAGGGCATTTAAACCCACCCTGGGGACCCAGGAATGGCCTGCTCCAGGAGGAAACAGTGAGGCCGAGAGGTGATTAGTGGTTACAGTTTAACTGGAGAAAAATGCATGCTCCGTGAGCCCAGCCAGCCAGGGAGCAAAGCGGTATGCGCTGGTCTCTTTCAGTTTGAAAGTTAGTGTGAGTCAAGCTCTGTATCCGCTGTCTATTCTTAATGTATGGGTCCTCCAGTCTGGCTGTCACCCCATATAGACACATCACACTCCAGCACTGCAAAGAATGAATGTGTCACCTCCACTGCTGCACACATGGCAATGATTAGCGATAAGATATTGTGGAAAAATTGACAGAACTGGGCTGTAATTATATGAGAGCCAAGAGAGCAATTCCCTGTCATTTACCAGTTTAACTTGAGTTCAGCTATTGATTCAGCTTCGCTTTAACTGTACAGTCGATATCAGTTAACTACAACATTTTCAAAAACTCCAAATGATCTACAAAGTAAAGGGGTCAATAATAATCTCAGTAACTAGAATGGCATTTGAAGGGGATCTACACATTACATTACATTACATTACATTGCATTTAGCTGACGCTTTTGTCCAAAGCGACTTACAATAAGTACATTCGACCAGGATCATTCGAACCACTCCCTTGTTTTTTTAGTTGGTATGTTTTTCTGTAAATATATGTGTATATAAGGTTATACACTTAATTTAAATATGACAATATAACACCCTAGGGAGGTGTTCCAGGCACGTCCAGCTGGGAAGAGACCAAGGGGTAGACCTAGGACCAGGTGGAGGGATTATATCTCTTCGCTGGCCTGGGAGCGCCTTGGGATCCCCCAGTCAGAGCTGGTTGATGTCGCCAGGGAAAAGAAAGTTTGGGACTCTCTGCTGGAACTGCTACCCCCGCGACCCGACCACGGATAAGCGGGAGAAGATGGATGGATGGATGGATGGAACAATGGAGATCATAGACCGCATGCCAAGTAGTTCATTTCACTGAAGCTTCATCTAGCTACATCAAGCATCTCCTCTGACATTCTCAGCCTAAACAAAGGTCAAGAACTGGGACTTGCAAGTATATTATATATGACACTAGTCACGTTTCATCTGTCCAGCACACTTATGGATGAATAACACCATTGTCTTATTATAAATCTGATTGCTAACACATTTTCGTTACCACAGAGAGGACATTTGTGTCGTGGCGATCTCAAATAAAGTGCCGCTTACCCCTGTGAAGATAAATGCAAGCGTGTATCAGGTGCCTTGTTCTCCCTGCATGACGCCTGATTCACTGCCCACTATAATCCTCCCTTCCCTGCTGCTGAGTTGCCTTTCAGCTTGACCATAATCCCCAGCAGCTATGAAACCCCACTGTGATATCAATTCAAACACTCCCACTGGCTCTCCCACTGTAGTTTGTACCACTTATATTGCACCCAATTATTGTTAGCAGTCCTCGGCTACATCAGAGTTTTTACTTCAGTCGCAAACATATTTTAGTGGCCTCACAACAGGTTGACAACACTGTGAAAAAACAAAACTGTTCGGATGAGAGTTACTTTGTGGTGCCTTACTCACAATGGAAGAATCAACTGAACTTGTTTCTTTTTACATTAAATGCGGTACTCTTTTATTAGCCTGGTTTAAGGCAATAAGTACAAGTGCATTGTGGGTTCCCACCATCCCTCTACCACATGCCTCGTGGTTGTTCTCTGACGCAGGAATATGTCATTAGGGTCCACCTTTTCCACCATAAAGCAGCTGCCTAACCCCCACAGTTTGGGACCTCAGGGCTATGATGTCACACACTCGTGATGTGGGACGAAATCTTAAAGCACAGGCAAATTGGTGAAGTGACAACCACACCTCGTATTTGATTTTAGAGACAGGCATGGTGGAAAGCCTGAATGGTTTATCTTCAAGCATTGTAATTGCAAAGGTCGTAGCCAATTGGTGTCAAACTCTGACCAAAACTCAGTGCAAGCTGTTGCACGCAGCAGCTGTCCAAGTATCTACATCTGGCCAAGCATGCAGTCAGGACAAGAAAATGTACAGCAAAAAAAGTCTGCATACACAAACACATGTACACATCCTGAGAGTGTGGAATGCCACCACAGGGATGCACAGCTGGACCCCAGTGGATATCTGGCTTTATGGTGGTGCTGAGAGCCTTTTTCTCTGCAGTGACTAAGTGCTGTGTAAGAGAAGTCTTGCTTGAACAACCAGTGTGCCGTTAGTGATGGATGCCTCTCCGTCTGGCCCCAGTTTTTCTGTCAGATTGATGTTAGGCTGACCTGCAGCTGAACTGATCATCAGCTGATTGGATAAACAATGCATTGAGCAGGCTCTGGACATGAAGAGCACTTGTGGTCACAGTTCAATGGGGGGTTGTGGATTAAATAGCAGCAGGACCTGGAAGAGGGAAATCAAAGTCCTTCCTCTGCATAAAGCCTGTGCGGCCTCCCTCGCTGCTCCTCTTCTCCACATACTTGGAGAGAGGTCCAGTGGACCCATAGCCAGACCTCCTCCAGTCTCATATATCTGTGTGACAGTTTCTCTCATGCAGCTCCACGTCATATGGTTCATACAATCCCCTACAGTCACCTTGGAAATAAACAGCCATCATACTCTGATCCGAAATATAACTGCAGCCCCCTGAGTGTGCCTCGATCTGCATTGTGGCCTAACGCTTTATAATGATCAGGCCTTATTCCACTCCAGCAAAGGGCTTGTTAGGTCTGCCTTGGCAGGGCCCGGCTCTCTGCCCTGACATCTTCTGGAACAATGGGCCCATGGGAGGCAGCCAATGGGGAGAAGGTCCATCCCAAACCCAGTCCCAGTGTGAACACAATTAGGCTTAGGGACAGTGGAATTGCTTAATTGGAGGAAAATAGCTCTTTATCTAGGCCTCTGTGCCTGTGCTCATTCTTGCCTCCTGCACTACATGCTTGGCCTCAACTAACTAACAAAAATGTTAAGATTGCAAATTTAAATGTTTACTAGTTTCAGTCATTACTTGGTATGTTCATAACACCAATAAGTGGTTATGGAGCATAAAGAAAACTCATGGTAAACCGTGGTCATTTAGAAATTCATACAAATAAAAATCTAAGCACACTTTGTCATGTACAACGTGGTGACATGAAATACTAATATGTAATCTTTTGTGTGGATAATATGAAGACATCTGATATTTAGCACATTTTTTGTGGGTGTTTACCCTGATGTGGGGCTCACAGTTTTATTTACCAATACTCCACTGTTTTTAAGTGAATGTCAGCAGTGTGTAGACGTTGAACTCTTTATCAGATGTTGTGACATCACAGAGCTCAGTGGAAGCCTGCATCTTGCACAACAGCTGGCTGGGCTGTGATGAACGCCCCTATAGGACAGGATTTGTGATTCTCTGAAAAATATCTCAGGGTTGAGAAAAGGGGATGCTAGTTCAAGAGGGGATGCAGACACGCCAAAGAGTGTTCGGTACCTTGTGGAAGTAGGTAGGCTACTGACAGTGAAGTGCTAACAAACGCAGGTAAAGGCACGTCCGCCGACGGCCTTGAATATGACAGTGTGGGGAGTACAGGCTGCAGGATATGGGCGCACCGCTGGAGAGTCTCTGAAAATAGGTCACTACCCTGTTTGAACTCGTGCAATTTTTCACATTGTAGCTGCGCACTAAGAGCAACGTGGACACACATGACAAAAGAAACGACATAAAGGACTGACATGCATTATAGGGTACGCTCCTTGCTTACCTTACAGTGAAAATACCGTGGAAATGCCCGAGATATCTCCGACTTGGCCCCCCTCTTCCCGGTGCAAACTTCGCACGCAAAGTCCTATGGCAGCGTCGGTGTCAAATGACTCCTCGTCAATGTGTCGCTTTTTCCTTCGGTAAACACGAAATTATAGAGCTGATACGTCTTGAAAAAATATGTCTAGGTGTCTGTAGAGGCGATCCGTTCCAAGACCATTGTCAGGTTAGATTTTTAAGCATGGGGAAAAAATATACATAAGCTCAAACGCAGCGTATGTGACAGCTGGTTGTTCAAATACAGACTAATATATGGAATGACAGTCTTGTCTGTTGCCGTGGAATGATCTATTCTTCATGTTATCAAGCCACTGGAAACCCGTCAAAAAGTGTAAACACCCTAATCCGTAACCTTAAGTCTTCCCGCTGAGGAAAAAAAAATGAAGCCACTGGTTGTGTTGTGCATCAAAAACGGATAGGGGATTTCTCCTTAAATTCAAAGCGCATCGCTTGATGGCAACGCTGGTCAAGTGGGGGGTTCCTGTGGATGGACGTGGTCCTCCTGGCGGGGTGGGAGGGCAGATCAGACCAGAGGGATGGCACGAAGTGGTGGGTAGGGTAGGGCGGGTTGGCGACGGGGTATGGGGTAAAGGGGGAGGATCGTCTCCTTCTTCTGTGCTTTTCCAGATGTCGAGGTGGGGCTATAATGTGCCTGTCCTTTCCTCGCAGTTATCCTCGCGTCTCTTCTGCTTTTTATTTTAATTGTAATTGTCTCTAAGCACTCCAGGAGACGCTGAGTGTTGGTGGTAGTCTCCCCCAAGACCGTCTGAAGCGCACAGCCATCCGCCCGGAGCCCAGCCAGCCCGTCAGGACCAGCCCAGAGTCTGCCAGCTCAGCGCATGCTTACTGCTCCGCCCCCCCCCCCCCCCCCCCCCCCCCCACCATGGGCAGTCCCCGGCGCCTCTCCAAACTGTCCCTCTCTCTCCGTTCACATGGCCATGTCTCCGCCTCAGCTCCCTGCATCAACCGGCGTTGGATAAGGGTAATACCCCTCTATAATTCACTGTCTGTTGTCTCCTAGTGTAGACATCTCTGTCCATGTCGACACCTCTGGGTAACCAACCAAACAGTGTTACATAATGAAAAAGTGTGAAACTACAGACAGCCAGCCAGTTATTTTACTCTAACACTAATGTATACATCCACCCACATACAATACAACAGTTCAATGTGCAACAAAAAAATACATAATAAAGATGGAGAAACAAAAATCTTAAAAAAATACAAAATCCCTGTCACTTACAGAATATAGGCCTACAGTATTTTATATTATACATGTGACCTATTTTGTGCATCTTTCTAGAGTACAAGTTTAACATATAAATCAAACAAAAATGAAGGCCTATATACATATTTGCATAGTGAATACGAAGTTAAATAGCTTTTTTTGCGATTTTTTGAAGTTACCTATTGACTACAAACAATTTTGGGACATAAAATGATAGTTAGGGATAGGATAATTACCATTGATTCTCTATAAGGAATTTATTTTTGTTCTGCTCTGGGAAATAGAAGATATGCCCAGTGTTTAGACCAGTAAGTTTGTTCCGCGTAAATGCAAGTTAATGACTGTTTAAGTTGTTTAGATTGTACAATGCTGATGTTACAAAGCCCTGGAATAGACAAGGGGCCCATTTTTTTAGACTAGTGCTCAAGTCAGTGAAACTATCCAAAAAGATGTAAGTTAAAAAAATAAAATTAAGTGGGATAATCAATTATATTTGAACTTATTTTTCTTAGTAGCTTTAGTTAATCAGCCTGATGTAGCTTAGCTGCAGTTACAATTGGTAAAACTAATTTAATAATTTAATTTATTTTAAAGTCTGTTTGTTGTTCAAATATCTCATTGATCATGTCTACTCAAGTTGGATTTTTTTTATTGTTGACAGTTCCTTTTTTCTAATGCAGATTTTCTATGAGCACTTCTTCATGTTTTAATGTTGTTTTGTGTTTGATGGATGCAGGAACTAATGTGCTAAATAAAGTCATCCACACAAGTGAGTGAATACCAATTATTAGTAAAAGCCAATTTTTAACAGAACTTAAAGGAAATCATTTATATATGGAGTGTACTTATATAGCTACCATGTTGACCTAAGAGGTGTTGAATACAGATGTTGATGTTTTGTCCACCCTGGGACATCCAGAGTTTCAGTGATGCTGGCATGCAAAAATGTGCACCAGGATCCCCTTTGACTTTTCACCCTGCCACCACTAGAGGGCCTAAAGCAGCCTGGGATAAGATTTGGATAAATCTAGGAGGCCTTAGAGATGTTATGGAATAAGAATTGATTTGCCAAGCCCTATTTTTTTATTTGAACAAGTCATAATTTTCTGCCCATTTAATATTAATTAAATAATGATCAAGTCCATTAGTGAATGTTCATGCAAAAAGAAAAATCAGGATCTCTTAATCATTTCATTTCAAACCTTTATTTATACAGATAAATCCCATTGAGATCATTGATCTCTTTTTCAAGGGAGACCTGCTCAAGTAGTTCCACATGAAACATAAAAACATAAATAGAACAACAAAAGGACATCATACAGCATCATTTACATAATTATCCACATAAACAGGTACCAATAGCTTCCGATTGAGTATCATCCAACCGAGCTTTAAAAACATTTAGTGGCACCAGATTGTTCAGTTTCCATTTAATTTGCAGACTATTCCAAGACAGGAGCTGCGCATCTAAAAGCTGTCTTCCCTAAGACAGTCCTAGCAGTTGGCACATTTAATAAAACCACAGCATTCGATCTCAGGCAGTAGCCACTTACAATTTTCCGTGAGATCAGGGAGCAGATATAAGATGGAAGTTTCCCTAACATGGCTTTGTATATAAAAATGTACCAGTGACTGAGCCTCCGTACAGTTAGTGAAAGCAAACCAGCCCTTGCATACAGGGTACAGTGATGGGTTAATGCTTTACAGTTTGTCACAAATCTTAGTGCACTGTGATACGCAGCATCTAACTTGACCAGGCAATTGGCAGGTGCATTTGAAAGCAATATTTAAGCCCTACATGTCACTTATAAGTTGCCAATTTAGTTTCCCCGGAACAACAAATTCAAAATATTGCTGTAATTTGATGTTAATTTTTCATGTATTCATTTCAAGTTTTAAGGTTTTTATATTTTAGTTCACTATTATGCATTATTGCATTCAGCACATGCATGTTGGTATTACATGTGATACTCATCCGTGTTGTCTTCTGGATGTTGCTTCAGCAGCTTTTTGTTAGGTCGAGATTCATGATATAGGAAGATGCAAGATCCCAATTTCGCAAAAATGTCTATACATAATACTTTAGCAACTGCAAGAAGATAGCTTAGGCTATACACTGTGGATCCTGATTTATTTTTTGTGAATACAAACATTATTTTTAAATCTCTCGCTTATGTTATGCAAACGTTGTGTTCTGTAATTGTATATAATCTTTTTTTTAAATATATTGTATATCCTATTTACCAACATAGTAAGACTTAATCAATTGATATTTTAATATAAGGGTTGGGCAAAACATCCAAACCTATGTAATCGTACTGTAACTAGGCTACACAAATACATTATTATTTTATATCCTGTTAATCTATCAAAGTCTGAGTTTATACGCCTAGAAATATAAGAACTGTATTTAAGTTGAAAATATATGTGTGACATCTAAAGAATGAAATATAATATGAACTATTTTTAAAAAAAAAACATTTTAAATGCGTACTGTGGGGCTGATATATCTTAGAAATAACTGCCATAGTGCTACATGAAGGTCATCTGTGTGTAACCAGCTCTGTGATAATCAGCGTTAAAGATATGCTTGTGTTAAAGCTCCTCAGCTCACAGCTGCAGCAGTAAGGTAGACTAATTAACAAAGCGCCACCATGTGCCTCCACAAGGATACAGCTGCAACAGCTCTTCGTGTTTCCGGGTGCACAAAAACAAATTCGCTGCTCCCATTTTGTGGCTGGCAGGTTATTACTGCATGAGCGTCACAGCTTCTATTAAAATAGGTTAATGTGGTGTATTCTCCTGTACTACCACTGTTGCTAACCAACATGGTGATCAACACACGGTTAGCAGTGGTGTGTGTGCAGTGTGTCCCAGAATGCCCTCTCGGTGTGCTGTTGCTGTGCAGCTCTGCCAGCCCGTCAGCTGATCCTCTGTCCTCTTATCGCAGCTGTTTGAGTGTACTGTAGTCCTGCTTTTTATTTACTACACCAGTGTCAAGGTGCAATCTACATGTTGAGGTTATTGCTTTAACATATATTGTAAAATGACTCCTGTGTGTATTGCATTATTAGCATGTACCTATTTGTTACATATATTAGGGATCTTTAAATATGTAAGGGTTAAATCTAAAGGCGCTCTTTATAAAAAATATTCTTGAAACAAGTCAAATGAGGGGAAATATACGTGTGATTTATATGTTATTAGGTTATTACCGACTGGGGGATTCGTGGATTGCTTTTATTCCACACTGCATCGCACATTTAATCGTAAATTATCTGCTAATGTTTCACTGTAATTCATATTAAATACATTTAACCCCCTTTTCAGCCTTGTGCGCTGTCTTGACGCTGTATCTCTGCGCTAAATAGTCCTTTGTTTACATGCAGTCCCTCCTCTCTGCGGAAGGAGGCTTTTGGAAGTGCAGTGTGACTCCTACCAGCTGTTTCCCGCCTTGAAAGCCATCCGATCAGCTGCATACACACACACATGCACGCGCGCACACGGTCATGCAGAGGGAGAAAGCAGAGGGGAGGGAGAGAGAGAGGTAGAGCCACACACAACGAGGGAACCCCATCAGCTGGAAGTCGAGTAACATTACAACTCTCAGCAGCCTGAAAAACTACTACCTTACACAAACGAGGATTCATATCTTCTTTGAGGATTTAACCCGCGTCGGATCACGGGATTTCTGCTCTCTAAGCATATTATTTTTTCTTTTATTCAACGGAGACTGTTGCCTGTTTTTTTTAGCAGGGGGGGCAAACTGGCGAGAGGCGAGCATGGAGTATTTCATGGTACCAGCTCAGAAGGTGCCCTCTTTGCAACATTTCAGGAAAACGGAGAAAGAAGTGATTGGAGGTCTTTGTAGGTGTGTATACATGCGCTTCAGCCAGCATGCAGCTGTTTTATTATTACAAGTCATCTGTTTGGAGTAGACGGCGATGAGGTAACATGCTTGAACTGATCTGTTATTGTGTACACGACCCACTCACTGGGAGCTGCGCGCATTATTTATCACCGAACACTTGAATTATGTTGCTTCTGAGCAAGTGGTGGCTCCGTCTCAACCCGCAGCACCCCCCTGTGATGTTTTTCTGCACATTTTGTTGCGATATCGTTGTATTTTTGTGGCTAACTAACATAAACCACGTGGTTCCGTGCACACCACGCTGCTACTCTGCTCCAGAGCGCACCCCTGCTCTATTTATCCTCAAATCACCCCCAGTGTCGCCTATAGGTGCTGTGATTTGCATAAGAAAAGAAAAGATAACACGAGCGAGTGTCATTCAGTGTGAAAGGGTCTAGTTTTGCCGCACACGTCGTGCGTGTTGCCGATTTGCTCAGAGCGAGCCGAAGTTATTGTGGGTAGTGCGGCCATGCTTGTGGCTTGTGCTAAAAGTGATGAGGGGGTCTGGCGTGTTTCCTGTTTATGGCGCCGTTTTCGTTTACTTCTAATGTGAAAATATACATATAGTTTGTAAATTGCCCCCATTTGTCGTGGCGATAGTTTAACGGGGGTTTCTGTGTGTCTTGGTCGTGCTATTGAGTCACCTCCACTGCGTCTTTTCATCCCGCACCTCTGCCATGCTGCCTGCCG